CTCCTTTTTGGAGCTTTGTAATCAGATGACAAGGGCTGGTTCCTCTGCTGGATTTCAGCATTCAAGGAAGGCTTTATCAAGCAGCAGCTCTCCATACAAGCGGCTGCTTTCGGCACTCTTATCAAGGCTCTGATAATGGAATATCTAATCTAAGTCAACATAAACTGGCGCTTGCATGTCTGCGGCTTGGAAGTTACAGCTTGGAGGCAGCCAGGAGATTGTGATTGCCATTTTAAACAGAGAAATAAAATGGGAAAGGTGCTGAATTTCATCTCAGTGCTGTCTTGGTAATGCAGCACAGTGAAAACACGGTTAAACCAAGATGATCAGGGGGATCGCAGCATCAGCACCATCTTTCCCCATCCCACCCAACCTTTCCAAGCAATGCCATCGCTTGGTCTGCTGAAGAAACCTTTGTTCCTCCAGGCTGAAAATAATCTGACCAAAGATGTGAACCCTGGGCAGGAGACCAAGTTCCCAGGTACAAGTACAGCAGGATAGGGATGAACCAAGCAATGATATTGGTTTAGACAGAAGGAAGTCCACCTGGGGATCTGTGATTGGCAAGGATGTGACCAAGCTCTTAAAATAACTGGATAGGGGTTCTGGTTCAGCTGGATCCGTATTAGGGAAATCCATGACTGAGTCAGCAAAAGCCCTGGCTTGTAGCCCATCACATTTGGCTAAGAATATCCTAGTGTAGAGCCCTGCCTCAGCTTCCGAAGCACTAACATGAAATCAAAGGCTTCTCAAAGTCTGGGAAGTCACTGGTGGAACACCTTTCACTATACCAGCTTGTTCCAAGCCCCGTCCAACCTGGCCTTGAACACTTCCAGCCATTGGCCAAGTCCTTTTCATAGTTCAGAACATAAGAGTTCTACTTCAACCTGGAGGATGCGGAGAAGGATTTTTGCTGCAGGAGCCCTGAGACTCAAAATCCTGTTCCCCAACGCAACAGCCAAGTTGTCAGGAAGCAGTGCATGCAGGAGGGTGGTTTCCCAGTGCGCTGGCAGACACTGAGTGCAAGTGGGAGCCAGGACCAGGAATCCCAGGGAAGGGTTGAGGGAAAGTGATAGAGCTTCCAACTGCTCCAGGGGCAGCTGCAGAGATGATGGGGCCAAACACTTCTTGATAATGGCAGATGTAATAACACGAGTGCACTTTGGGAGGTCTGGATTGAGCATCTCCTTCAAGAGGTGTGGTACAGCCCCAAGATGGGTACCCAGAGAGATAGAGGAGGTGGGGTTTCAGATACAGCCAAAGAGAAGGCTGAGTGGAGACCTCATAGCAGCCTTCCAGTATCTGAAGGGGGCCTATAGGGATGCTGGGGAGGGACTCTTCATTAGGGACTGTAGTGATAGGACAAGGGGTAATGGGTTAAAACTTAAACAGGGGAAGTTTAGATTGGATATAAGGAGGAAATTCTTTCCTGTTAGGGTGGTGAGGCACTGGAATGGGTTGTCCAGGGAGGTTGTGAATGCTCCATCCCTGGCAGTGTTCAAGGCCAGGTTGGACAAGGCCTTGGGTAATATGGTTTAGAGCGAGGTGTCCCTGCCCATGGCAGGGGGTTGGAACTGGATGATCTTAAGGTCCTTTCCAACCCTAACTATTCTATGATTCTGTGAGCTGACCTGGTGTTGGTGATGCTCTTGCTTTGAGCCAGAGGTTGAACCAGAGGCATTCAGAGGTCCCTCCCCACCAGCATTTCCTGATTCATCACCTTGGGATGTAAAGCATTCAAAGCAGAAATGATCTTGCACTTTATTTCCAAAGCAACTTAAACACAAAAGTACCTGCTGGCTTCCCACAAGACCTTCCTCTTTTCTCTTTCTACAAACCAGGTCCATGGTTTGGGGTAGGCATTTAGTTTTAACCAAATGGTCAATTAACGTGGCCTCGTGTTAATGCAAATCAGGTCCGTGTTCTTCTTCCTAGAAAGACAAATTGATGTCATGTTTGAAGAGATCCTGGTGGGGAGATGTACAAGTATTCTGAACTTTGCTACTGAGATTAAAGTTGTCTCACCTGCTGTTTGCTCATCAGGCCTGCCTAGATAATCATTACCTTGGCCGAATTTCATTCTGTGAGGGCTTCTTCTAAGAACTTCTGCATTTCTTTACTGGAGGATGTAAAAGAGCATGAGTCCAACAGAGCAGACAAACCAAAGAGGATTTATCTTTGATCATTGATAAAAATCAGTTCATTGCAATTCTAAATTCACCAGCAGTGATCCATAGTCCACATTTATCCAATCCACCAAAGCTGGGAGCATAGGTATGTCATATCTGTAAGTAGAAGAGGATACCTGCAGAACGCAGCTTTGATCTCAGATGTGTATGGGGCTGCTCAGCCTGGAGAAAAGAAGCTGCATGGAGACCTCAGAGCAGCTTCCAGTATCTGAAAGGGGCTACAAGGATGCTGGAGAGGGACTCTTCATCAGGGACTATGGCAATAGGACAAGGAATGATGGGTTCAACCTGAAACAGGGGAAGTTTAGATTGGATATAAGGAAGAAGTTCTTTACTGTGAGGGTGGTGAGACACTGGAATTGGTTGCCCAGGGAGGTTGTGAATGCTCCATCCCTGGCAGTGTTCAAGACCAGGTTGGACAGAACCTTAGGTGACATGGTTTAGTGTGAGGTGTCCCTGCCCATGGCAGGGGGGTTGGAACCAGATGATCTTAAGTTGATAGAACAATATTCAGGTGTTGTTTCAAGTCTGAACCTCATTGTCCATCATGTGAAGAGAGGGGACCTGAACTGCCTGGAGGAGCAGAGAGAGGTCCAGGGCAGGAATGCTTGGGAGGCACACAAGTGCTTCCAAATGGCTCATGGCCAGAGGACACGGTGAGGGGCAGGGAGCTGCCAGCTCCATAAGCTGCCAGGACCCAGCCTTAGAGATCATTCACCTCTAGCCCTGTGAAAAGGAACGTGACCAGCAGGTCGAAGGAGGTGATCCTGCCCCTTTATTCTGCTCTCGTGAGACCTCACTTGGAGTATTGTGTGCAGTTCTGGTGTCCTCAACATAAAAAGGACATGGATCTGTTGGAACAAGTCCAGAGGAGGCCACGAGGATGATCAGGGGACTGGAGCACCTCCTGTATGAAGATAGGCTGAGAAAGTTGGGGCTGTTCAGCCTGGAGAAGGCTGCATGGAGACCTCATAGAAGCCTTCCAGTACCTGAAGGGGGGCTATAGGGATGCTGGGGAGGGACTCTTCATTAGGGACTGTAGTGATAGGACAAGGGGTAATGGGTTAAGACTTAAACAGGGGAAGTTTAGATTGGATATAAGAAGGAAATTCTTTCCTGTTAGGTTGGTGAGGCACTGGAATGGGTTGCCCAAGGATGTTGTGAATACTCCATCCCTGGCAGTGTTCAAGGCTAGGTTGGACGAGGCCTTGGGTGATATGGTTTAGTGTGAGGTGTCCCTGCCCATGGCAGGAGGGTTGGAACTTGATGATCTTGAGGTCCTTTCCAACCCTAACTATTCTATGATTCTATGAAGAAGATGCTGAAAAGGGATGTGTGGCCCCACATGACCCCAGGTCGTTCACCCAGCACAGGGAAAAGATGTCATGCAGTTCCCAAGGTGATGTCATTCCTGTTAGAACGTGAGGGATAAAAGGGATGTTTGGGAAACTGCTGAATCAACCCACCCTCCATGTGTGCCCCTGAGCCTTGCCTGGCCCCGTCCATGGTGCGGAGGGGTGATGTTCCCTATGGATACCCTCCAGCAGAGGCTTTCCCTCTCCTGCCTCATCAGGCTGACGCTGCCGGTACTAATTAACCAGAAACTGAGGCTGAATGAAGCCCAGGAAGCATCACTGTGTAGCACAGAGAGATGAGGTGGCAGCAGCCCCAGGCTAAGCCCGCTCCTGCAGGATGTGTGGCTGCAGAGGGCTCAGACAGCGTCTCTGAACTGGAAGGAAACAGGGTTTTTTTGCATTTATCCATGATTTCAAAAGGCCAAAGGTGCTGTGAGAAAGTAGAATGGAAGAGTTGCCAAGAGGAGAGGGAATGTGAGTGAAAAGGGAGGAAAACCATGAGCTGGTGACTTTGGGAAGGAGGAGGAGTTCATTGGAGCAGAAGATGAGGTGGGAGCAAGAAGCACAGCCTGGGAATCGAGACCCACAGAATGGATGCTCAGAAGTCATTCAGCAACCCAGGATGCTCAGCCAGGGGGACCACACTGGAGAGGAGCCCAGCTCTGAGCCCTGCTTTGGAGGAAGGAATGAGGCTCAGCTTGGAGGCTGCTGCTGGCCCTGCTTTGATGATGTGGCCTTCAGCAGAAACATGGCTCTGAGGGCTAGAATGATCCTTCTGTACACGACCGACTGTGGCTCCTCTGGGGAAAGGAGAAGGAATGGGGGTTATAGTGGTGGCTCCTGGCAATAGCCTCAGTAGGTCACTAATAGCACCAGTCCATCTAATCCACACAAAACCCCTTTCTTTGAGGCAAGGCCGTTAGTGATGGAGTCTGAATCAAACTGCAGCCTTCAGAATGGACCAGGTGAAGTCCAGGATTTGATTTTGAGTTGTGTTTGTTCCTTAGGATACAGTGATGAGTGGTAAATGCTCCATCCCTGGCAGTGTTCAGGGCCAGGCTGGACAGAACCTTGGGTGACATGGTCTAGTGTGAGGTGTCCCTGTCCATAGCAGGGGGTTGGAACTGGATGATCTTAAGGTCCTTTCCAACCCAAACCATTCCATGATTCTCTGATTGTAATGGAGACTTTGTGACTACTGCTACATCTGGGTTACAGCAAAACACAGTGCTCCAGTGGACCACGAGGCACGTGAAGGAGTGAGCAAGCCAGTGTGCAGCTGCTACTCCTCATGACACTGGTAAAGACCCAACATATCCACGAATAGAAATCCCCTGGAGCCATAACCCTGATCTTCCATCACTTTCTCCCCTGCCAGAGGTGTGTTCCCAGGTGATCTGGCTTGTTCTCCTGATAATCAATCTCTTTGAACACTTTATTCCCCATTTGTTTATGGATGCCACGTTGCTGCCTCCATAAAATGGGCTCATGGGATTTCCCCTGCCCCCACGCTGTAAATCGAGGTCCGTCAAATGTACAACAATTTATCACTGACCATTGCCCAGTTTTGTGTTAATGTTTGAACATGGCCATAAAACAATTACATCATCTTACCTCTGACCAGCCTTTAAGGCAAAAGGACCTTATAAAACCAAGCTCTGCTCACCAGCAAGGCACCTTCTCTTGCGTTGGGAGCACAGAGAGCCTTTCCATCATGAGCTTCACTGGAAAGTATGAGCTCCAGTCCCAGGAAAACTTTGAGCCCTTTATGAAAGCCATGGGTAAGCGCCTGCATGTGCTAAGTGCTGCTTTGCCTCTGCAGGTCCCAATGGTGTTTGGGATTCCAACTGATGCGCTGATGATGCAGATTGAAACCATCTCTCAGATTTCCTGTTTCTGACTGTCTTCTTGCAGTTGTTGGGGTGTTTTTTAATGGGTGTGCATGGAGATGTGGTCTCAAGATAGAAGAGAAAGCAGCTCCCTGGCTGGTGGCTGGAGGACAAAGATGCTGGGTGAAATACATGCCTTGCAAGAAAATGGTCCTAGCAGGGTCTGCAGCCACAGCAGAATGCTGCATGCATGGGATAACCCAGTAGGACCTGGGTGGGTCAGGGAGACTGCAGATCCGCTCCATCAATCTGTGATATTTCCTTTCCAACCCTAACTCTTCTATGATTCTATGGTTCTATATTTGAAGGCCAGCAGGGCATCGCTCAGCCCATCATACTGCTGCTCAGTGATGCTGCAAAGAACCAGATTCCACCATTCATCAGAAAGAGCATAACATCACCATCGAATGGTTTGGGTTGGAAGGGACCTTAAAGCTCATCCAGTTCCAAACCCCTGCCACTAGAGCAGCTTGCTCCAAGCCCCATCCAACCTGGCCTTGAACACTGCCAGGGAAGGAGCATTTGCCACTTCTCTGGGCACCTTGTGCCAGTGCTTCAGCACCCTCACAAGGAAGAGTTTCTGCCTAGGGTCCAACCTGAACTTCCCCTGTTTCAGTTTGAATCCATCACCCCTCATCCTCTCGCTGCTGACCCTGATGAAGAGATGATGAAGAGACAAAAATAGTTGGGGTTTTTAAATGCTTAATGCTGAATGTGTCTGACTACGTTTCCACCCGTGTCCATGCCAGCGAATGTGTTCCAACAGGGATTCAGGAGACTGCACTATTTGCACAGTTATGTGCTGGAGGGGCTCTACCTGTCAGACCAGATTCAGGCTTTTGGAGAAGACTTTAGCGGACTGGTTCTGAGGGACACTGAATAAAAGCCCACTTGGTTCTCTTATCCTGCTTCTATTTATTCCATTTTCTCTGTTTGCCAGAGGAATGAAGAAAATCAGGATTCTTTCTATCTAATGCTTAGGCAGGGAAGTATCTGTTCTGCTCCCAGCCAGGTCAGTGAGACAAGGGAGGTGTCTTAGTTCCCACACATCAGGATGACAGTATTTGTTATTCTCCTTCTCCATCAGACTCAGGGCTATGTGACCTTTGGGAATCATCATCATTAGAAGGTTTTTCCACACTGGAATAGAAATCCTCCCAGCTGTGCATCCCCAAATCCTGCCACATTCATTCATTCACTCAGGGGGGTTGGAACTCGATGATCTTAAGGTCCTTTCCAACCCAAACCATTCTGTGATTCTATGATTCAGCAGCAGCAATGTGCTTACTGATGGCTCCAAGGTTGACTTAATGTCTCTTGTTCTTGGGCAGGGCTTCCCGATGAACAGATCCAGAAAGGGAAGGACATCAAGAGCGTCTCAGAAATCGTGCAGGATGGGAAGATGTTCAAAATCACAGTGACCACCGGCTCCAAAGTGTTGCACCAAGAGTTCACCATCGGGGAGGAGTGTGAGCTGGAGATGCTGTCGGGGGAGAAAGTCAAGGTGAGTGATGAGCTCCTCCTCTGCCAGGGCTCAGGGACATTTAATTCCCTCTCCAGCCATTCCCTCTGCACTTGAGCAAAGGGAATGACCAGACGATGGGTGTTAAAGCTGACACAGGGGAGTTCCGCAGCCTGGTTCTGTCTCTCACAGTTTGCATGCATGATTTCATGTAATGGGAAGGGGAGAATAGCTGAAACCAGGTCTGCAGATGCGACACCACTGCCCTGCTCCCTGCAGGCCCTCAGCAAGCCTCTTAGGGACTCATTCCTGAAAGTGACAGCACATTTCTGAGCCACCCTCCCAAGAACCTCAGAGCCTGAGACTGCAAAAGGTCTGCAAGATTCAAGGTGGAAAAGGGCTGACTTTCTGTCATGCTGCAACACAAAATATACCCCCACCTTTCTGTTGACTTAAAGGTAGTGCAGGAAAGTCAGCCAAGGAACCATAAACCAATAAATCTCCCCCTTGACATCCCAGTGGCTGGTCTCTGCTAGCTTTTTCCACTGCTTCTGCTGACACTGGGTGAGAGGATTTGGCAAGGTGAGGAGTTATCACCCTTGAAATCGGGCCAGCTCCCATTCATTAGTTTGCAATGGTTCCTAAAACATTAAGGCAGCGCCGCCAGCATTATTGCCTCTCACTTCTACCTCAGGAGGAGATGATATTGCAGGGATAGATGAAATCAGGAGGGATGATCACCAGGGAAATGCCCCAGTGGTCCCTGAGAGTGTACCGGCTTTGTGTACCGTATCACAGCTTCTGGCGTCATTGAAGTCCCTTGTGCATAAACTAGGGGGAAACAGCTATTAGAAGAGTTTCACCCACCATCGATCAGCAGCTCAAGGGCAGATGAACAACCCTTATAGCTGGACAGGCAGAGGAACAGAAATGGGTTTGCTGGGTTATTTATCTGAGTCATAGCAATGATTGCTGCCCTGGAGGTGCTGGTGCTTTTATATGTGCAGCTCCTGAGGGCTATAGACCCAGCAGATGTACCTGTCCTTCCAAGAGCTTCCCAGCCATGAGTGAGTCTCTTAAAGCTCCTTAAATAGTTTCCCACCATGATCAAGACTCCCCCCATTGCCATGCTGTCACCCAGTTCCCTGTCACCCCATCCCATGCTGCAATAGGTGGGTGATGGATAGGAAATGACATGTCCCAGTGTCTCAGTTCTCTCCTTGGAGGTGTACAGCTCCTCTTAGTCTGGATGCTGCATGAGGAGCTGCCCCAAGGAGCATCAGGGCAGCATTGGCAGGGTGAAGATCCTTCCTTGTCCTGCCCCAAAGCTCATGTGTTTGTGTGATGCTAAGGGGTGCCAAGGATCTCTGCTCTGGCATATAACAGTACATGAGTGAGTCGCAATTAGAATGGGAGAGAAGTAGGTACGGTGCCAAAACCACATCCCAAAGTAAAGATCCACACCCCTGTTGTGTTGCAGTCACCACCAGCACAACCCTCTCTCCTCCTCCTCCTCTCAGGAAAGCCAGAATCACCTGGAAGCAGCTTTCTCCAGGCAGTTTGCAGTAGGGATGGTGGCAGCTCAGTGCAGAAGGAGCAGGATAGGATCATAGAATCATAGTTTTGGGTCGGAACTGAGATGGTCTCCAGCAATAACATGAATACCTCTGTCTTCTACCAGGCTGTTGTTGAGATGGAAGGTAACAACAGACTGATTGCAAACCTGAAAGGGATCAAATCCGTCACTGAACTCAACGGAGACACCATCACCGTTGTAAGTGTAGAAGAGGACAATGGCTGATGTAATGGTGCATACAGATGCCTTTAGTGTCTGGCCCTGGAAAGCCTATAGAGATACTGGGGACCTTAGGGAGGTGTGGAGATGAGCATGCAAGCTCTGCAGCCAAAGTTATCAGTTGGCCAGGCACTGAAGGCAGTTTTCCATTATAGTCTGATCCAAAAAGTACTCTTCAAGGTGCCAGTATCCATTGCTTAACAAAAGTTACATGTAATGAGGGCACATTTTCACCCACCCAGAGGAGGAGGTATGTGTTTGGACCTGGCACTTTTAAAAGGGAGATGCAGCGGACTGATCCCAGTTGAAGGATACCAGCTTATCCCTACCTGCTTTGGGGTACTCATGAATAAATCCAAAGCTTTAATAATTCAGTTTATAGGAGATAGACTGGAAGCCAGTCCTGGTTTGATTTGTAAGACCAGACCCTTTCCAAGTAGAGTTTGGAGGCAAGCACCATGATGATCCTTATGGGTTGTTTCCAATGATTCTATGAAAAGCTGATACTCTCCATCTGTTTTTCAGACTATGAACATGGGAGACATCACCTACAAGAGGGTCAGCAAGAGAATTTAGGAACCCCACACACCCCCATCATTTTACTGTGTAAAATGTGTCCATTAAAGTAAAATTTGTATTAAAGGCCTTTTCATTATGATCAACCTCTTCACTGTGCTATAAAGAGATGCAACACTGAAACTCACACAAGCCTTGGTAGAAATCAGGCAACAGGCTGAGCCAAGGCTGTGCTGATGCTGGTGAATGGAGCTCGACAAGGGCATAGGCTCAGAGCCGTTGAGTGACCCACTGAGATGTGCTCCATGATGATGGGCACTCTTCCTGGGGCTGGCATCCTGCTGGGAACATCCCAGTGGGTCACCACTGTCTGGGTGGATGGAGGAGCACTGGGCAGGGAAAGGGCTCTGTTCCCTTTCCTTACAAGCATGGATAAAGTGACAGCAAGATGAATGGAAGGGCCAAAGGATGGGGCAGGTTAAGTGGGCTCAAGGAAATGTTGGTGGTCCTGCCTGGAAAGATGCCTTGGAAAAGCAACCAGCATGGAGGCAGTTCAGGTGTCCAAAGCATCATCTCCATCCTAACACCTCTGCAACAGGATCTGGACACTCCATCCCCATCACCTCCCCACCCCTTCTCACCAGACAGTGTTCAGGTATCCAATGTGTGTTGCACCCCAAACCGCACCTGATAAGTTGGGCTGAACTGGAATTGAACACTTCTTCTAGAGGGAAATACATTTTGTTTCTCCAGGCAGGAGATGGACACTGGTTGTTCACAGGGTAGACACAGAAGGAGCATCAAAGTCACCCCCACACTCTTGCTTTGTGCTGCAGATTGGACGGAGATGTGGTTTTCTGATGCACGTAGGAGAAGAAACTCACTGGGAAATGGGTGTATGACTTGTGTGATATACTTAGCTGGGAATATGTTCTTACAACAGCTCAAAGCTAATCAGGATGTTAGGAAAACACAAGCTCTTCCTCACCTCCTCCTGCAACCCCAATATGTGCCATTAAAGGACCAATTTGTCCTCAGTTGCATCTCTACCATGACTCCTCTCTCCTCAGCCTTTGTGTTTCATGTTGACATAGGGCAAGGGGGAATGGCTTGAACCTGCCAGAGGGGAGACTGAGCTGAGCTCTTAGGCAGAAGCTCTTCCCTGTGAGGGTGCTGAGGCACTGGCACAGGGTGCCCAGAGAAGCTGTGGCTGCCCCATCCCTGGCAGTGTTCAAGGGCAGGTTGGACACAGGGGCTTGGAGCAAGCTGCTCTAGTGGAAGGTGTCCCTGCCCATGGCAAGAGGTTGGAACTGGATGAGCTTTAAGTTTCCTTCCAACACAAACCATGTTGTGATGCTATGACTGATTCTCATACTGAGAACTGAACCAATACAGATTGTCACACTGGACATTGGATGGGTACCTCCTGGACAAATGGAAGGGCTTAGCTCAACCACACCTAGAAAGCAGATGTTGTCTCCAGCAAATTTATCTTAGATCTGGAGAAACATCAGTAAAACCACTGAGACATTTCACAAAGGAAAAGCCCTGGGTCTGCTGAGGAACAGGTAGGGGATTCTTGAACAAACCCATCCCTTTCCATCTCTCAGCTGCCACTGAAGGCGTGGAGCCAACCAGTTGGATTTTGAGATTGAGATATCTAAAAATCTAAGCATTGCCCTTGGACTGTTCCTTCTCTCCATTGGCTGCCCACTGCCAGCTGATCCATGGACTATCTGTATTTTGCTTAGTGCAAAATGGATTAAACACCTGTCTAAGCTGAAAGGCAGCACTGGAAGGCATTGGAGGCCCCATCTCACTGCTTCTTCAGTTAGAGCAATGAACACAGTGCACCACACCAGTGCAACTGGCTTCTGGCATGGAGTCATCCCCTGTCCATCCCCTGCCATCACTGCAGTCATTTCCTGTTTTTTAACTAAAGAGACTCATATACCCTTATTACTTTACCCCAATGTAGGAATTCCACTAAGTCTCACTTACAAAGTGCCCACAGTTTGATGTGGCAGCAGTATCAGCTATAGATGGATTTGTCAGCAGATCTTCATCAGAAAAACACCACTTTACATCAAGCACCATCTGTGGGTCTTATTCAGTTTGCACTCACTGCCCACAGGCATACAAGGCACATTTTAGAATCACCTTCCCACTTATACCATTCCTTGGGCAACCACCCATGGACATCATGGAAAGAAATGATGTTATCACAAGGAAGTGATGGGAAAACCCAAAAAAAAAAAAACACACTTAGGAAAGAATCCATTAAAATTTAACCAAGGATTTCAGGATCAGGACTTGTGCAGAGAGAAACAGGCCTCCAATGAGAATGTAAACCGTTTTATAACAGGGGTTTTTGCTTTGATTTTAAATGATAATGGTAGAAAAAAGATGTTGTTTCTGCCAAGATCTCTTCTGCTTTGAGCCCTCACAAGATGTTTCGGGACTCTCTCCCAGCAGCCCACGCTGTCAGACTGGTGCCACTGGAAACAATCCTTATGGATATATCACATATCACATTCCCAGTGACTGGAGGTGCCATAGGTGATGTTGTGCCACAAGCATGAATCTGTGTCAAGCTCAGGGTTTATTCCTTCTTGTGGAAGAGGCCTGGCGAGGTCTCATTGCTGGGTTCAGGCATGACTTGAATCTTTTGGTTTTGGAGGGCAGCTTCCCTCATCTTGTAGTACATGAACTCGTTCTGCTGGAACATGCGCAGCTCCATCTCCGTCTGGACACGCATGACCTGGACACAGGACACAGGAGGTAACAATCTGTGATCAGGGGATCTCAAAGCAACTGAATAACACACTGTCTAAAACTGGAGACCATTGGGGTTGGAACTGGATGATCTTAAGGTCCTTTCCAACCCAAACCATTCTATGTCATAGGCCATGCAACAACTGATGCCCTTTACTCTAAGTGTCCCACCAATGGGACCAAAGCTAAACAGACACAGATACCCAGTTCTGTTCTCCAACCTTGTTGCCTGTGTAATGTGAAGATACCTGCACCCAGCTATTCCACAGGCTGCTGGGAAGCCTTACGGTCCCAAACATGATGCAGGACCTAGAGGTGATGCTGTGCTGAGCCAAAGAGTGAATGTGCTTCCCATTCATTTCATGGGGCTGACCCTTGGCATGACTCAGCACCAGAGTGGGAGGCATCTCATGTGGTGAAGGAGGAGGAGGATGCTCAGCCCCTCTTCAAACACATACTCATTTTTCTGGCGATATAAAATTGCTCTAATATAGGTTATAGCTCTACTATAATGGTGACTAAGACACTAATAAAAGATTTCATTTGGTATTGTGTAATTTTTTTGGCTAATAAAAGAGAATGCTGTAGAGCAAACAGGTCACATTGGGCGAGTTAAGGCTGAGGAAATGATAGATCCCCAGCTGCAATTACAAACAGTTCCTCATATCTGAGCAGACGCAATTCTCTGGGATCTGCAGCTTTTGACCTAAGCTAGGAAATACACCTACCAGTCATTTGAGGGAAAAATACACTGCAGCTTAGAATGACTGGGGAGTGGTAAATAAAGAAGAATGGACACTGATAAAGAAAATCAGTTGTTAAACTGGGAACCTCTACCATGTGTACTTTGGTATAGTCAGATTGCAATGCCATTCATCTGAGAGCAGTGAAATCAGGTTGTTTGAAGAATGGGAGTCTCTGTCTTTGGGCACAGTGGTTTCAAAGGAGATTCAGAGGCTCAGTGGTCATTTTTAATGTATGTCCTGGTGCAAGATTAAAGCTATTTTTCAGGGGTGGAAACAGACACATGTTTCTCATCAAACTGTGACACAATATAGAGAAAACCACAGCGTTAGTAAGAAGTGGTCATTATTGACACATCTCTCAGCTCTTATGGATGGGTTGTTCCTATAGCTTGAATGTAATTTTGCCCAGGTAGACAGCAGAGACAACACAGAGATGACACCTACCTCCAGGTCTTTGGTAATTGGGTGGGAAGGTCCATGGGTTATCAGGAGAATGGCATAGGCTTTACAGATCAAGCCATGCCCAGCCTCAATGAGGCCAGCATGCCAGTGGGTGACTCCTGCCCGCATCACGGCCATCCCCAGCTGCGCGTTGTTGGGATGGTATATTTTCCTGGAAAAACATTGAGTAATTTGAGTTCATGAAAGATCCCGGTTCCCAAATGTTTGTCAGGAACATGTGTTTGCCAAAAAGAGCTCGCTGTTTACTCAAGTGAAGAGCCTGTTGCCTTTGGTGCCACTGAAACGTGCTGCCCTGCTTAGAAAGGGGCAAACACGAGTTATACGAGGACAGAAGTTATATGAGGACATGAGCTGTTGTGGAAGAGGGTGAACAACCTGCAAACAGGGAAGCTGGAACCTAGGTTGGAGAATGCCAAGCTCTTTCATTCCATATTATTTCAGCAGAAACAAAACTTAAAGCTGACCAAAACCTAGATCTACAGCCCAAATGGCACCAACTTCACTTCAGTCACTCAGTGCAGTCCCTAAACTGACAATGCAAGAACCACCAGTTTCTCTTTCAAAGTAGGGAGAGAAATAGGTGGTTCCAAACCTACAGAAATACTCATTTCATGCCCTGGAGATGCATCTCTGCCTCTGGGGACTGTCAGATCACTCCCCTATGGTCAGTACCTGGGGTGGGAAAAATGAAACCTGCCCTCTACATCCAACTTTAGAAGCTGAGGCAGAGTTAGAAGCAAACCTGCCTTCAAGGGCTTATTTGGCATATTGAACTGGCAGGCCTTAAAGCAAGGAAAGGACCTGAGAGGGAAGCAATTTCCTCTGGCATTCAATTAGTTCAGTGCCAGGGCTGGGACATGAGTGGCTTGTCAGGCCTGCAAGCCAGGGAGGTGACTCTGTCACCCCTCTGAAGCAGAACAAAATATCACAGGCTTTTTGGGTTAGAACTGACCAAAATGACAAGCAATGAGTATGAGATGCTTTCAGCAAGAGGGTAAATGAGATGGTGAAATGGACTTTTCTCTTTCCCCTATGGTTCCCATTATTTTTAAATTTGTATCTTTTACTATGTAATACTCTTCAATCCTGTAGTAATAATAAAGCACATCACTTTTATTGTGAGGTTTGCTCTGGATCTACTTGAACTAAGCCTGAAT